GGGGACGGGGACGATAACACGGCGAAGGGGGTGGGGGGCTGCTCGCGGGTCCTGGTGGCGGGGCTCCAGCTCCTTNTTTTCCGCTCCAGCTCGTTCGTCGGAGATGCCGCCACCTCGCGCTCCTTCTCGTGCGGCGAGGCGGTACGATGGGAGCCAAGGTGCACCTGGGATTGCGTGGGGACGGGGACGATAACACGGCGAAGGGGGTGGGGGGCTGCTCGCGGGTCCTGGTGGCGGGGCTCCAGCTCCTTCAGCCGCGATCGGAGCGCCCCCTGCTTCGCCCTAGCCGCTTGGAGATACGCCTCACGCTCCGCCAGAACAGCCGCACTCTCCTCCTCCTGCTTCNCACGCTCCTCCTCCTGCTTCCTCGCCGCAGTAGCTAAAGCAGCCTCACGTTCCTCCTCCTGCTTCCTCGCCGCAGCAGCCCGAACAGCCTCACGCTCCTCCTCCTGCTTCCTCGCCGCAGCNTCCTCTTTGATAGCACGAACAGGGCCAGAGAGAGGGTAGCTACGATCGATTTTGGAAAGGGCAGCAGGGCCAGAAACAGTAGATGTAGGATAACCACCCGCACTTGAGGCAGCAGCACCAAGAGCAGCAGAAGCAGTAAAGCCAGGTGCAACTTCGGGAAGAGCAAGCCGAGGTCCATGCGAAAGGCGGAGATATCCACAAGATAGCATACGCCCAGTGATAAAAGCTTGGTGCACACGAGGTTGAAGCGGATCCAACCAAGCAGAAAAAGCGTCCAAAAGCACACCATGCCACGCACAAACAGCAGTAGAAGCTAGCACAAAAGGGCCCGTGTTGGATGGAGACACGAGGTTTTCCGACCAATAGACGAGCAGAGCAGCACGGCGTTCCTCCGCAACTGGTGCCGAAGTGCGAGCAAAGACCGCTGTGGGTTTGCGCTGTTGAAGGGTTTCCAATTCAAATGCTTTGAGGGTGAACGATTCCCCGGAAAAAAAGTGCCATGTGATTTCGAAAATGAAGGGAAGGCTGGTGGGGCGGCTGACACCCAATTTGTGTGCACACATCGCGTTCCAAGTCGATGCAAGCGGAGTCAAATCGGAGAGCACAACAGGAAAATCCGCGGACATCGGCCGGTACGCCGGCATGAATGCAGTAGAGGTGGTAGCAGACGTGGGAAGCATGCTGTAATCTCGGGTCCCACTACACAAGGCCAGCAACTCAGGACGCTCCATGCAGAGGGTATCCGCCACAGAAATTACTTCATGGACCGCCGATGCAGACAACTAGCTTTCGAGGGACGGCGAACGTACGAGAAATCACCCAAAACATCGCGATGGCCTCCGAGGCGCGTATCCTTTGCAAGGTCCCAGTCCCGCGGGCGCTTCACAAAAGCATCACAAGCCAGCATCTCTACAGGAGAGGAAGCAGAGAAGAGGGTTAGTCTAGATTCTCGTGGGTGGTGAGACCAAATAACAAGCAACCCGGTGGTTGTGAAAAAAAGCGTGGCAACAACACACAGCAGTGTGGAAGCCGCGTCCAGCACCCGCTTACCGTGTAATGCCAGCTGACGCCAAGTTTCAAGGAGTGATGCCGTGGGCGGTAGCTTGCTCCTAGAGATAATAGATGAAGGTTCTGTCGTTGACACGCTTGTCCACGACCACGTTGAGATGGGAAAAGTCGCTTGTCATTGCTGAGAGACGATCAGTGGTCTGGGATGAAGTGGGGATCCAACTTCATCTCAGGGGGTACACAGAGTAGACAATTCTAAGGGAGATAGGGGTCAGAAGGGTATACCTCCTGACCGACCTGCATCCTATCAAGAATAAGATGTACCCTATTGATGCTAGCAGCCACACTCCTGAATAGTAGACTGAGCACAGTGGGGGAGGTCGAGCTCCCTCAAGTAGGGGCTACAAAGGACCTGTCCCCGGGTTTATCCTTCCAGCGGGAGATACATCTCCCGCACTTTCCTAAGGGAATTACGCCGCATAACCGTTGATACTTGCTACAACTCAAATCCCATAACACTAGTCCACCCTGGAGATTCTCATTCGCAGATACTTGAAATCTCGGAACTTGACAATCAATTGTCTGATCCAAAAATGAAAGGATCGAGAATGCGAAGCTCCAAAATACCAAAATTCACCCTCCCACACCTCTCACACGATGAGTCGCAAGACCATCGTTCGACCCAACAAAGAGGTAGGAAAAAGGATAAATACGGGGCTACGAACACAGACGAAAGAAAGAAATAACAACAGAAAAACCGTCAACGCTACAAATACCACAACAGGTCAGGACCGAAAGAAAGAAAGAAAAACACAAGAAAACCACGGGCGGGAAGACGAAAACTACACGTACGAACCGAACGACTAGAAACTCGAAGCAGTCAGCGTCACCGAGGCAACAAGGAGCGACTAAAGCATGTACGGCTAGCCCATATAAACGAAAACCACCAATAAACCCGGAAGATGCAAAAGCATCACAATGTACCCGACAGGTAAGAAACCAAACGTTTCGACAAGTAAAACAAGGTGTAGACCCACAAGGAGGACCAACACCATCAATCCCCCACAGGGAACCGAAGCTCGACCATGCGAACGGTGAAAGAGCAGAAGAGCGGAAAGACTCGAAGGAGGACTAAACGGCGTCCCAGACGGAAACAAATCGATCGTCAAAATGACGGAAGAAGAGGTCGAAATACCAAAACGAAATCAGACACCGCGAATTCTCTAGTAGGCAATAACAGTCCACAAGTACTGGAGCGCAAACCACATATATATCAGGCGTACATCGCAACTGAAACATCACACAGAAACCAAACAGACAGAAACTCTGAAACGCGCCATCTTAGCGGGCGTGCGTCGAATCGCCGGACGACGAATGTGCCTCCTCCACGTTCCGCGACATATCAACATTGCGAAGAAGTCCTTTCATGAGAGCGCTTCCGCCGTGGACTTGAAGACACCATGAACCACAGACGGCAGATCCGAGGGTAGAGTAGCGAACATCGGAGTGGGCGATCTTGATCGGTCCAGGGTCGTCAAGGAAGCGGACGATGTAGTGGTCGGCCCGTTCAGTCGGTCCAGAAATCTTGCCCAGCCACCAAAGTCCATCTTGAGCCTTGTACCAGAAAAACGCACCCACAGGTAGAGGAGTATCGGCGAAACGACGGTCCCAGGTTGAACGGGGGACAAAGGAGTAACCCGGAGGCAAATATCTCTCGCCCGTAGCACGTGCCAATTCGCGTGCGGCGGCGCCAATACGCATGGCACGGTAACGACCATTCGTCTGACGGTGTTGATCGGGCGAACCCGTCCAATAGCGGAGAATCTGCGATCGAGAGTGCTGAAGGTCCATCTCACGCTCCCAAGAAGGGCGGAGAAGACCCTTCCAATGTGTCTGATAAAGGACAGCGATGACACCACCACAACCTCGAACAGACTGGTGACCTGTAATTTGGTCAACCTCGAGACGTTCGACCGAGGTCGAGACGTCATCTTCCGTATCATGATACGGAAGAGATTTAGACGTATAGTTATTTAAGACATACTGCGTGAGACCACCCGGCAGAAACCGCGGCAGGTCCTCAGCGTCATGCGGATTGGCGCATGGCTTGCAGCGTACGACCGAAACACGACGTTTCGAGTCTTTGCCCGGCAGGTCCGACGGAAGATCCAAGTACAACAACTTGGCGGCGAGAGGGCTGCCATCAGGGGCTTTCGAACAGGGGCCGACAGCCAACACCTTAAACGGACCGGTCCAAAGCAACGATAACTTCGCTTTGAGAACCTTGTCGTCGGTACCTGATCGAACACCTGAACGAATGGTAGATTCGGTATTATAGATCCAAACCCAATCGCCGATGGCGTAAGTCGGAAGCTTGTGTAAAGCATTCTAGAGAGCGGAATTTCGCCGCTCGATCCGAGAAACGGATAATTTGTGCTATTCGCGCACCAACTCGTAGGCACGACGTTGGCGATCAGCAGCGAGGTCGCAATATTCGAGATGATCGCGACCTAAACTTTGATGACCACGAGCATAAGGATGCTCGAGGACAGTCATCGGGAGGCGAGGCAAACGGCTGATGTGCACCTCATTAGGTGCTAAACCGGTGGCAGCGCTAACAGAGCTATTGTACGCAAACTCCACATGAGGGAGATGAAGATCCCAATCATCTTGCCTTTCATTCATAACCATGGCAAGCATTTGTGCCATAGTGTGGTTGACTCGCTCGACACCACCGTTTCCATTAGGATGGTATGAGCTGGTGGCCACTTTGCGAACTGCGAGACGTTTGTAAACGGCGTGGGACAGTTTCGAGCAAAGCTGTGTGCCGTTGTCCGATAAAAGACTCGAAGGGCAACCCTACAAAGGGATATACCGATTCACTAAAATATCTGCAGTACCTTCGGCGTTAAACTCTGCGGCCTTAACGGCGTACATATCAGCACGTCGACTAAAACGATCGGTGAACAGCAGAATGTACGTGTGACCCCGAGGGGTGGTCGGCAGTGGGCCGAAGTACAGTAGTACTGGGCCCTCTATAGTGCCGGTTGAATAGTGCCGGTGCCCGGTATAGTGCCTGTAAAATCTCTCGACACAGACGGCGCCCTCAATAGTGCCGGTCCGGCACTACTGAGGGATGGCCCGTTATAGTGCCGGTTGGGCGCCACGTCAGCCCGCAATAGTGCCGGTTGAATACCTGCTGTAGGACACACACACACAGCCTCCCCCATGCTGCCNAGAGAGCGGAATTTCGCCGCTCGATCCGAGAAACGGATAATTTGTGCTGTTCGCGCACCAACTCGTAGGCACGACGTTGGCGATCAGCAGCGAGGTCGCAATATTCGAGATGATCGCGACCTAAACTTTGATGACCACGAGCATAAGGATGCTCGAGGACAGTCATCGGGAGGCGAGGCAAACGGCTGATGTGCACCTCATTAGATGCTCAACCGGTGGCATCGCTAACAGAGTTATTATACGCAAACTTCACAAGAGGGAGATGAAAATCCCAATCATCTTGCCTTTCGTTCACAACCATGGCAAGCATTTGTGCCATAGTGTGGTTGACTCGCTCGACACCACCGTTTCCATTAGGATGGTANAGTACTGGGCCCTCTATAGTGCCGGTTGAATAGTGCCGGTGCCCGGTATAGTGCCTGTAAAATCTCTCGACACAGACGGCGCCCTCAATAGTGCCGGTCCGGCACTACTGAGGGATGGCCCGTTATAGTGCCGGTTGGGCGCCACGTCAGCCCGCAATAGTGCCGGTTGAATACCTGCTGTAGGACACACACACACAGCCTCCCCCATGCTGCCCCCTCACGGGGTTCCAGTTCATGGAAGGCCAAGATGCCCGTCACACGCGACGTCCTTCGAAACTTCGGCCGTTCCGCCAGGACAACCCTGCTGGCTGACACCGCAACTTCTGCAGCAGTGAGGGCGAAGGTCGAGGACTTCAGGGCCGGCGAGAAGTGGGCAAAGAACTTCGTGAAGCGCAACAACATCCACAGCGTGCGACTTCATGGCGAGGCTGGTAGCGTCAACATGGCGGCTATCAAGGAGGGCATGGACGAAGTCAGGGCCCTTTGCGCGAAGTACCCGGCTAGGTTCATCTTCAACGTCGACGAGACAGGCCTCCAGTGGAAGCTCCTGCCCAGGCGCACGTACCTTTCCACCTCGGAGGATCGGAAGACGGCGCGGGGTTCAAAGAGCATGTACTTCAAGGACCGACTGTCTGCCTTCATGTGCTGCAACGCCGACGGCACTGCGAAGGTTGACATGGCCATCATCGGGAGGGCAAAGGAACCCCGCTGCTTCAAGAGCGCGCCTTCACCTCTCAAGTACTACTCGCAAACCAACGCGTGGTCCGACTCTGCGACGTTCCTCAAGTGGTGGCTTCAAGTCTTCCTCCCGTTCGTTCGGCGCTTCACTCACGAACCTGTGCTGCTGCTGATGGACGGCTGTGCCTCTCACGGTGATCTCGTGGATGACCGGGGGCAAGTGACCGTCAAGTTCTACCCTCCGAAGTGCACCTCCGTACACCAGCCCATGGATCTGGGGATCATTGCCAAGACGAAAGTGGTCTTCAGGAAGGAGTTGCTCGACGTGAAGACATCAACTATGTTGGTGGCTGACACACTTCGCGCCCAGGCGAAAGCCCGCAAGATGAAGGCCGGGACAATGGGGCTGGCGCAAGGGCACCAACCTCATCTGCGGGACGCCGCAGAACTTCTCAAGAAAGCATGGGCCAGCATCACCGCCCAGGATATCGCCAGGTGAGGTTTGAACGTGTGGTATCGCTTGTTTTTTTTTTCAGCTCCCTCAAGTGCGCGTGGCTTTGGTGGTGCGATACGTGGGGACAGGCGAGGACAGCTGTACGGACAGTGTGGCATAGGTTTCTTCCTTTTTTTTTGACTGCGTATTGCAGCATCCGGATATGCCCATTTTTCTTTCTACTAAATGGTCCTCTATCGCATCCCCATGAGTAATTCTTCGTCACTCCCGTCCAACATCGCTTGTCCGCCCCAAAACGGATGCATTGCATTTTCTGCTACCTGGCACAGGTGCTTTGTCAAGGCCGACACGCTTCCGTCAGAGATGGCGGCTGAGCTCACCACACAACACGGAAAGACCCGGTTCAGCATCGCCGAGCCTGACCTGAAGGCTCTCACGGAGACCGTCAACAAGTTGAGCACGAGCGTCGGCGAAGCGCAAAAGCAAGGAGCCGGCATCGTAGACGAGGAAATCAGCGAGCTCTTCGCAGAACTCGACATCGAACCCGGAAAGCCGGTCGAGGAAGAAGCGGTGAGCGCGATTCGGGGGTGGGCTACCATCGAGGACGACGAGGAGGTGACGGAGGCTCTTCGACTGGACGCAGCGGACGAAATGGCGGAACTGCTGGCTGGAATGCAAGTGACTACCGGCGGTGATGAGGAGGACGAAGTGGAGGGCAGTGACGATGACAACTCGGGGCCCGAGCGCCGTGCTCCACCCGATTATACTGAGCTGTCGCCTCACTTCAGCGTCCTGGAAGCGGCAGCAGATGAGAGTGGCAACGCAGACGCGGCGTTCTTCCTAACGAAAGCGAAGATGGCGATGATTGCAGCGCATTCCGCTAGGCGGGTGCGCCAGGCAGACATGAGAGAGTTTGTTGCTGGTACAGAGTAAGGTTGAAGGGCAGCTGGTGTTGCAATGTTGCAATGGTTGTTTGCTTTTCTTCCGGTGCGCTTCCTGTCGTGTTTTTCTTTGTCACCGTTTTTTCTTGTCACATCCAAGGGGGTGCGCCAGGCAGACATTACAGAATTGCTGCTACGTTGCGAGGGCGGGGAGAACAGCTGTGGTAGAGTACAGTACTTATGTAATGGTCATTTATTTTCCGTGCGGTGCGCTTCCTGTCGTGCTTGTGTTCTTGGGGTTGTTTTGATTCTTTCTTGCGACATCCAAGGGCGCCAGGCAGACGTTACAGAATTGCTGCTATCATACGTTGCGAGGGCGGGGAGAACAGCTGTGGTAAATTAGAGGTGTGATACATATGATCGTTTATTTTCGTGCGGCGCGCTCCCTGTCGTGGTTCTCTGTTGTCTGTTTTTTCTGGCAACATCGAAGGAGGGCAACGAGGAGTTAGACGTTCACTTATAATACACATATGCATACATATTCGATCCACGATCCACATCGTTCTCTGTTGGTCCCGCAAAGCTTGAGCGCTGCATCATGAAATCAACACCTCCTCAGTAGTGCCGGACCGGCACTACTGAGGCTTCGAATATCCCTCAGTAGTGCCGGACCGGCACTACTGAGCCACTGTTCTGAATACTGCCGGTGCCCGGTATAGTGCCGCTATTTTCTCGGGACACTACCCGGCACTATAGAGGGCCGAGTACTGTAATCGACACTCACGGACACTCCAGGTCCGGAGGGCAGCGGGAGGCTTTGAATCGGCCACCGGGCTGTTTGTGGAGATGTTTTTCGAACTTGGCACCGCAGGCAATGACGAATCCACCATTTGGTGCAAACGCTCGTACCATTGACAGCGTTCGCGCCGCACCAAGATGGCACGAAGCATTAGCGTGGCATACCTGCATAATCCATGGACGCATCAACATAGGGACGTAAAAACCCGGATAGGTTCGTCGTTGAGTAGACGCGCAGCGCGCCCACCAGGGCGCGTGGAAGCGGCAGGTGTGGATGTAGTCCGTTTCTTTACAAGAAGCACCACGTCATCATCGTCGACATGTAACCGGCCTGTATGCGCCAATTCACGGATATCCGAAAACGAAGGTCGACGATGTAGCGGAAGGTGGTTAAGAAAACCAGGTGGCAACTCGGAAGGTTGGCCTAGAAGGAGGTAGCGTATGGCCGCGTCACAGACGGGTTCACCGCGTTGTTAACGCGCCCAATCAGAATGAAAAAAACTCTCAACTGATTCACGGAAATCGAGCTCCACGCCCGAAAGCACTGGAGCATCAGCAGCCAGCGGGACACGCGTAGAACCAAGGAATGGTCCAGACGCGTGCGTCGGAGGTGGCGGGTCCGAACGAGCTGAAATCTCCGGAATCGGATTCAGCGGCGCCGAGGCGGCGGGCTCTACCGGGCTGGAAGCCGAAGATGGGCGAACAGGAGGCGTACGAACCACAGACGGAGGAACAGTCGGCTCGAGAGGCGCGTCTTCCGGCTGATAAAATCCAAAATCCACAGCCGGGCGCGGAACACCTGCTGCGGCAGCAGCACGCCTGCGGGTCCTCGTCGAAATGACGTCGGTGGGGTCCAAAGTACGCCGGGACGGAGCACCAGAGCGTGAGGAGACAGTGGTAGACGCCGCTGTTGCGTCCTCTACTGGAAAAACACCAGCAGCAGCCGAAACTGTAGCGGTGCCTGGCACAAGCATGGGCGGGCGGTTACGAATGGTTGCAGAGCCCGAGCCGCCAATAACAGTCGGGGGTAAGGCTCGAACAGACCAGACATCCAAAGGAGCTCCGGAGTCAGCAACACCAGCTCGTGTCCCACGCTCACGGAAATCAGCAAAGTCAGTTGAAGAAGGCGGTAGCCCACCCAAGACTGAACTTGGGGCGGACGGGGCGAGCCCACCCAAGCCGACACCTACTTGGTGACCCGAAGGCACAAAACCACAAGAGCAGATTAAGTACACCGCTTCGTCTTCGGCGGACGGAGTCAGACGACTGCGGCCAGAACGGTCACGCTCGGTCGCTTCTATCGGCAATCGAGAAAGGAAGTCGGCGTTGCCGTTTGACGAACCCTTGCGATACTCAAGAGTGTAAGAGTACGCTGTGAGGAATTCCAGCCAACGTTGAACGCGGGCGTTGGTTTCCCCCACCTTCGCAAGGTGTTCCAGCGATTTGTGGTAAGTGAAAATCTTGAAATAAGTGCCCCATAAATAGCCACGAAGGTGCTTGATGCACCAAACGATACTGCCAGCTTCAATATCCAGAGGAGTCCAATGGCGCTCAGACTCTAAAGTAGCTCGACTAACGAATACGATCGGTCGAACAGAACCATCAGGTTGCTCTTGTTCCAAAGTCCCGCCAAACCCATCTTTACTCGCGTCATAATAGAGGCGAAAAGGACGCGAACCGTCGGATACAGCATCCCAATCAGGATACACCAGAACAGGGGGGCTCGCGAGTTCTGCGAGAAGTTGCCTGACGGCGGATTCCATTGAATCCATAAACTCAAACTTCACATCCTTCTTCAGAAGAGTCGTAAGGGGACGAACACGCTTAGCCATCTGTGGGAGGAATTTCCGGTAATAGGTGAGACCACCCAGCAAAGCTCGAAGCTGCTTGGTGTCGTTGGGCATCGGCATCTTGGTGAGCGCAATAACCTTGTCACCATTTGGCCGAACACCGTCCGGAGAAATAGTGTGCCCAAGAAACTCGGCTTCTGTGGCGCCAATTGTAGCTTTCGAAGGGGTCAGTTTCAAGTTGTGTGTACGCAACCTTTCGAAAAGAGAGCGAATGGTCGCTACATGAGCGGCTGGGGTCGCATCAAAAACGATGAGGTCGTCCAAATACGACGCAACACCTCGAAGAGTTTTTTATGACTTCGTTGACGACCTTGCAAAACCATCCTGGGGCAGCAGCACTGCCCTGAGTNCGCTACATGAGCGGCCGGGGTCTCATCAAAGACAATGAGGTCGTCCAAATACGACGCAACACCTCGAAGATTTCTGATGACTTCGTTGACGACCTTACAGAACCATCCGGGAGCAGCGGCGCTGCCCTGAGGCATTTTCAACCACTCAAACAGCCCAGAAGACGTAACAAACGCCGTGAGAGGGATGGTATCACGATGAACCGTGATTTGATGGAACGAAGATTTCATGTCAAAGAGAGAATAGATCTTTCCCTTCAACAATTTGGCCAGAGTATCATCAACTCGAGGGATCGGGAGCTGACTAAGAGCACAAAGCTTATTCAACTTGCGATTATTCACGGTGATGCGAAGACCACCAGATTTCTTGGGTATGACAACCAAAGGAATCGAGTATGGAGACGTCGAGTGTTGTATAAGACCCGCGGCAAGGTATTGGTCGAGAATAGCGTCCACCTGTTTCGCAATTGGAGGGCTAATTCGGTACGGGCGAGATGTGACTGGCTCACTGCCTGGGGGGACGGTCAATTTGAACGGAAACAATGAACAAGAACCGAAATCCGTGGGCGAACTGGAAAACACGTCATGGTATTCACACAGAACATTACCCAACTCCGTAATTACGGCCGGCGTCCAACCAGGACCATGCAGGAACGCAATTTCTCGCAAGTGATGTGGCAGTTTGTCCCACACACGAGAGAAGCTAACACGTTGTTCCGATGTTAAACGTGCCAAAAGGGCCGAAGGTGGCGAAGAAATGGTCGTATCCGAAGAATCGGGACCAGTCGCCGCACTTGACTGTTTGTCGGTCTGCCCGTACAGATTATATACAGACGTATGATCCGCCTGTCTGTGACGCTGCCGAACGGCACCCGTTGCCGAACGGCACCCGTTATTACTACAGGCAGGACCAAGGACCCTATCATCGAGAGTCTGCGGAACGGCAGCGGTCGGAAGACCATCGTTGACGTTGTCGCACGGAAACGCACTAAGGGGGAGTTTGAGAAGGGGCGCCGAAACGGTACCCAAAACATCTCCTGGTACCAAACTCGAAACACCCGCCAATGGCACACGTTGGCGGCCATGAGTGACGAAATGTTCTTCGGAAGAAAACATGGATGTTTGCGGAAACATATCCACCGTATAGTTGCCTACAAGAGCAGGAGAACCGTCCTGCGAACCAAATCAACTGGGACAAGTTGATGTTCAGGTAGCAATTGAATGGAATGCCGGCCAGCATACCGAAGCTGGAAACCTCCCTCCTGGGCAGAGTCATCATGGACGAAAGCTTCAGCGTCACCCTGCTTATGATGGGCCAAAGTCAATTCTCCAAAAACGCGATCGCCAGGGCGTCTCGTCGGCAAGGCACGGTAGGAGCGGTCGCTAAACCGCATCCAACTGTCTCTACCGAGCAATACATCATGTTGCATAACACCGTCAGGCACAACATAGGCCCAAACAGCGAGAGATGCTGTCGGGAATTTTTATCGAAGAAACTGTACGCTCAAACGGACCATTGTCGACGTTTGAAGGGGGGCGGACTCGCCAAACCAACCCCAACAACGAGNTGGAATGCCGGCCAGCATACCGAAGCTGGAAACCTCCCTCCTGGGCAGAGTCATCATGGACGAAAGCTTCAGCG